GGAGCGGCTGCTGGCGCCCGCCGCGCTGGCCGCGCTGGCCGCCGCGCAGCGCCGGCTGCTGGCCGCGCTGGCCGAGCTGCGGCGCGGCGACGCGGTGCGTGTCCTTCCGGCGGGCCCGCGCCGACCATCCGCGCGGCGCTTGACTCGTCCGTCTCTCGTTTCCAGGAGGCCGGGCAGCCGCGGCCGCCGAGCCCGCCGAGCCCGTCGAGCCCACCGCGTGAGCGTCCTTGCTCTTACGCGACGCGAGCGGGACGGCGTCCGAGTCCGATGTTTTCCCGCCTTCCGCTTGTGTCGTGATAATCAAAAATATTGCGACCTGCATTTTTTAAATTCATTTAAACCGGAAGCGCGCTGGACATGTCGAATTGACTACCGGCAACGCGGCGTTTCAAAAAAAGTCCGAAAGGCGGCAACGCCTAAACGGCCTAAAACTTATTTACAATCGACTAATTAAATTGCAACAACGATGACGTGCACGTCTGAATATCGAAAAATTTTGTTATTATATTCTGCGCTATGTATAATTTTTATTTTCAGTTCCAAAGAAAAGGAAAAAACCAAAAGCAAAAACGCACCAAGCGCCCGAGGTCGACGACGGCCTCCCGAAGGACTACGACGAGTGGCAACGGCAACGGCAACAATTAAATAAATATTTCCACATAATTCCGCAAAAACAAAACGCACCGAACATATTACTCATGGATACGACACTGAAATCCGGAAAAAAATTAGTTCAACTTTTGCATCAATCGTCCGATGCGAACATTAAAAATTCATCTACTTGTAAAAGCGACCCCCAAAGAACACTGATTAAAACTGTTGGAGTAAAACCACAAACAAAAGTTGTGAAAGGATCGAGTGCACTCGCTAAGTGCACAAATAGTACGACTGTTGTTGATGAAACTACACAAATCGAGCTTACTCGAGCCGCAAATCAGAACTCAACAACTAATCTGATTCAAGGTTCAACTCAAGAGACAGATCGAAACCAAGTTACGGACCGAAATAAACTCCTCAAAGAAACTGAAAATATTAACATAAGTAAGGAAATAGCCATACTGCGTCCACCAATGAATGTTGATCAAAAAGAACCAACGCACAATATAGTAACACAACTGGTTACAAATCAACCTGAAGTTAACAAGGGCCAACTAATGATTGTTGACAGCCCCGAAACAAGTCAATGTGATCAGAATCACTTGGTTGCAACTCAACTCACGAATAAACCTGGAGGTTCGTCTATGAAAACTCCTCCTTGGATTAAACAGAACCAAGATGTAAGCACAACTGATAATATGTTGTTAAATATTACACCCGCACAAAACACACAGACCAATTCGGATCAAAATCAAACTATTACAAACCAGCCTACTTTACCAACATTTTTGCGAATACAAATAAACCAACAAAATCCTAATCAATACCTTTCCGTCGGTCAAAACATACAACCAAATTTAGTTGTCAACCAGCCCGCAGTTATGAATTTTCAAAACCTAGTACCAACGAACCAATTAATCGATCAAAGTGGTCATCAAGTCAATCATTCAGTTATCATGGTTGCACCAACTCAAAATTTTCTATTTACGCAACCGAATCAGAATTTGGGTCCTAATCAGAATTTGGGTCCTAATCAGAACGGGGAGCAAAATAATTTGTGCCAAAATATTAATGTTGCCCAACATTTAAACTTGAATAAAAACCAAATTGAAATTACTCCAATTTCTGACGTAAACTCCCTTAAACGAAAACGTCCGAAATCACCCGTACTTAAAGAACCGCTTTCGAAAATCTGCAGCCGAATGATTAACACAACAAACAACTCCAAAGATTATGACCCTAATTGGTTCAAAAAACCTTTTGGAAATCTTGATAAACCTAAAAAGAAGGTTAAAGAAGGAAATTCGAGGGATATAGAATCAGTTGTTGAAAGAGATACAAATATGCCCGTAATAAAAAATGTCATTTCACTCTCTGAAAGCTATGTGAATAGTCAGAGTTTACGAAATAATAATAATGCCATTGGGTCGAAATTACAAGATCTTGCTTCAAAATCGGTCGGAGTGATGGTAAAACAAACTAGTTTTCCTACCACGAGTGGAAAAATTGTCCAAATAACGAATTTGTTACGCGTTACAGATGTTGCTGTTCATGATCAGCACACACAAGGTAAACAAAGTAACGTACTTGACAAGAAATTAAAAAATAACATGGTACCATGTGTGATTGATATGAAAACTCGAGACAGTCTCATTATTAAAAAGCAACATCTCTCAAACAACTATCACTCAGAAAAACGTAACAAAATTGCAAGTAAAAGAAGACAAGATTTTGATTCCAAATCAAATGCAGAAAACCCACAAAGGAGCATAATTCAACACACATCAACGATTGTTTCTCAGCAGAAAGTGGAAAGTAATAAAAATTGTACAATTGGTAGTTACAAAATCAAAGAAACACAAAATGAAAGCATTGATGCTGCCCAAAAAACAGCGGTAATAAATACTACGCCAGTAGTACATAATGAAAGGGAAATAATTAGAAGGGCGCAAAATGATATAAATCTAAGGGGAAGTGAACTGCCAGTACTGAGTGTGAAAAGCACTGTGGCGATAGACGCGGGAGCTGCGAAGGTGCAAGCAGGTAATTATTGCGTAGAAAATACGAGGTCTAAAATGTTAAATATTGAACACTTTGATCAAGCAAGCTACAATTTTAATAAAGTAATAACACTGCACAAATATATTGGGACTCTACGCGACTATTCAGATGCAGTGCGTGACGAACTAGTCGGACTGACGAACGACTTGCTTACTTATTTACTTGGGAGCTTGCGGGAGGCAAGCGGCCTGGGATTCTATCTCGGAGAGGTCTATGTGATCGCATTAGCGCACATGTTACTGATGACCAATGATCGGAAAAAAGTGTTCCACATATGTAGATGCATGTATAGGTATAGCTACAAGGAGCCATGTAAAATAATGCAGTAGTAACTGATTTTTACCAACGCAGAGAATAAAAAAGTAACGAGAAAGGTCACTCTCTGCCCCTCCTTAGCTTTAGATACCGCACCGCGCCCCCCATATTCATTTTCAACATGAAAGGTATGATCCGCGTAAGCATGTGTGTTTGTGATCGCAGGTGTGGCGAGAGTGGCGGGCACCGTGAACGCTGACGCGGACGCGGCCAACGTTGTAAACCCGCGCAATACTCTTCTGTACATCACTATCGATCCCCTGTCCACGTGTAAGTTATCACCAAACTTGGAAACTTTCTGTACTATTAGTACGTTAGAGTCATTGACCTATTTGGTAGGTAATAGTTAGGGTGCTGTTTTGTTTGTCGGTGTAGCGTCTTGCGTGTTTCTGTAAGTATCGGGGACTATTTAGGGCACCCAGATCAGAACAAATGTAGAACGGTTTTCACAACTTGGTTCAACCGGGAGTCGAACCTCGAACTCTCTTATAACGCCTGCGGTGCCTGATCATAGCACCACCGGAGTCGTTTCCAATAAATGAGAGTTCCTGAAGAACCAAACGTTTTTACTTAATATTACCATGTATAATTAATTGTGTTCTTTCTTTTTCTCGTAGCCATTCAACCCCCAGATCAACTGTCTGCTCCATCAATACATGTCACCGATTATTTCAAATCCCCACCGATTAGTCTTTCCGACTTCGTCACGGGCAAGGACCCAACCAACATCGTCATGCTCTGCATCGACCTTGGCATGCCGCTTCTCGTCTTGGAAGGAGAACACCTCTTAGTCACTGACCATAGTATACACTGTAACCAACCTAGTTACTGGACTATAGAGCCTAACTTCAAGTGTCAAAGAATTATTTTCGACGAAAATGAGAAACGTGGAGTGGATAAGTCTACAAGCGATATTAATAAGACGCCTACATTGAAAGTGAAGTCGTTCGCAAAGGCGGACGCAGAAAATGCGCTGGACAAAATTAACGGGCTGAGAGTGCCCGAAGACGTTTATTTGGAAAATAAGAGCTACAAAAAATTATCGCATGTGCCTTTGGTGTATGCTCAGGTGGGTTTTAATTATTTCTGTGCGGTGCGTGAGCGCAATCGCGAAACGATTTGTACATTATCCTCCCGCGTCTTAATTTTGTTAATGTTCTGTGACTGTTCACTTTACCGAGGCTTGCGAAACAGCGTGTGTTTATTTATGGCAAGTCTGGAGAATACGAATTGTGAAATTGCTTAAAGTTACGTCGCCATTTTCACGACAGCTTTGGGAACGTTCCTAAAAGGATTGTTTTTAAAAATTAATGTCCAGGACATAAAGTTATGCAGAAGTTACGTTTATAGATATTACGGTAATACGAAAGCGGTTTCATAAGCGGAGGTTTGATTTTATGGTTCTTGCAAAAAAGATTTTTTTTCTACTTCGGTACTTTAATCTGTTATTATAGTTTCATAAACCATATCACAAATGCACTCTTTTTAGTTCTATAACAAAATTCTATTGCCTATGATATATAGCTACGAACTGAAAAGAACGTCGTATTTCTGCTAATTAAGAGTCCTTAAACGCGTCACTGTTTTGTTGAATAGGATAACGTCACCATATTTGTGAAATTATTAAAATTCAAATTGTCAAGTAATATCTCAAAATGGTAAAGAACAAGTGCACAGGCGTAACGATTTGGCAACAAAGAACTATCTATTTGAAAACAGTATAAAATATCAAATATGACGCGACTCAAACGCTCTATTGCCTCCTGATTGGTTACAATATAAGCGGTATTTGGCCAATCATGGCACTTTTATTCCATTTTTTTGGTTTTTTGTTTTGTAGCGTTTGTTTGGTTTTGTTTTCGTGGATCGTTAACAAAATAATCTTGAAATCTTGGTTGCGTTTCATTATTTTAATTTACTCGTAGAAAAAGTACGTATGCAATCATTGCATAATTAGGTCTTAAAATTTCGCACCTATTACCTAACCTACGTGTAACGATCGCGTAATAGTATGTTATGCAATCGTTGCATAATGAGGGTTCTTAGAGTCGAGTACCGCGTTCGGGCCGCGAGACTTGCCGCGCGGCCTAAGCAGTAGGTGCGAGAAACTACGAGAAATTCTTCGGTTCAGTAGCGAGTGCCCCTGATTTTATTAAGTAAGATTTTTCGTTCAGAACGAGAAAGAGCGCCCTCGTGATGCGGCTTACGAAGTTGACAGATTAAAGTACAGCAGTAGAAAAAGTGGTGTTCGAAGCGTGTAAACAATAGGTGTCTTGTGGACGCGCGGGCAGGTGCTGCGCGTGGTGGCGGACGTGGCGGCGGCGCAGTGGCTGATGGATGCGCGCGCGCCGCTGCACATGCTGAGCGCGGCGGCCGGGCGCCTGCTGCCGCCGCAGCGCGAGGGCGTGTTCGGCATGAACGCCGCCGCCGTCGCGCCCGTCAGCGACCTGGTCGCCAGGTGCGTCCAGCGCCCCGCCCCGCCCCGCCCCGCCCCGCCCGCCGGCCCTCAACCGCCTCCCGTTTCAGGCTCAACGCCCTCCCCGACTCGACGGCGCGACGGGCCCCGGCCGCGACCTCCGCTCCCGGCTGCGACCCGGTCATCGACCTGGACACTGACGAAGACTAACCGCGCCGTCGTCGGTTTATAATAACAATGTGAAACAGCAGGTGTAGTCAGTAAGCATAAATACCTGAATTTGTTAGTAAATGTAAAATTATTATTAAGATTAAGACGATGGTAGAGACCGATTTTTTTGCCTCCGTTATAGAAGGCCATGAATTCGATACCCGACGAAGACGCCCGGACCGCGCAGCGCAGTTTTTTCGTTAACGATTACTTGCTCTCGTGGTAAAGGTTGAAACTAGAACGCGGCGGGCTTTAAGGCTTTGTGAAGGCATAATTTAAGAAGCAAAATTACGAATCGTACTCTTTATAAAACCGGTTGATTTCAAAATGACCCTGCATTTGTGTTTAAACTTCCGGTGTTTGTCAAAACTGATTGTTCACAACTCGCAACACCAACGTTGATGTCATAACTTATATCAATTCCGCCTCACTTACATGCAAGTTGATAATCGGACACTATACTCAGCGTCATTGTTTTGACGCTGCTGGCTGGGCAAAGTGTTACGTCCAGAACGGCCAAACACGTTCAATGTGTTATAGTTAGTTACATTGTGATGGTGCGCTTCCAAAGTGCTCAAACAATACAAATACAAAACTCAACATTTTAGTTACGAATTTTAAAGGTTCACTTCTTAGTGTCAAATAATAATGTCTTCATTACCTTGAATTTATTATCATGCTCATTTAAACGATGAGTACAATCATCAGTTGAGAGTGTTTAGTGTAATTTCATGGTTTATTAAACTAGTTCGTAAGTGCGCCCCGTTGCACGGTGATTCACGCTCCATACTAAGGCGGTCATAAATACGTAACTCCGAAATTATTATTATTTTTTTATTTTATTACGTTAAAATATGATTAGGTAAACGTAAATTAATAAAATTATACATTTTAAAAAATATTTGACAATATTTAGGTGTAAAAATGTCTCGCAGTAATTTTGTTTTTAGACGATGTATCTAAAACATTTTATACTGCGACTTTTAATGGTAAAACTGTGTAAATAATGATTATTTGTATTAACAATAACCACAAATGAATAAATTAAAACAATAAAAATACATAAAAAAGTTCATTTTACAAAATACAAACAAAACACAAATTATACCAAAATACATTAAATCTCAACAATATTAACTTTAAATACATAACAAGTCTAATACAGCTTTTGACAGTACACCTTTTTTTTAACAGGTAACTTTCGTAGACCTGTTATGAAGGGATCTGAATGAAGAAGCAGCCTATTTACTAAATCTGTGTTGGTCACAATGCGACTCATTTTACGCGTATGATTTTTTCTAAAAGACTTGATGTATTTGTTAGTCGCTTCAGCTGCTTCTTCAGACAACTCTCCGATTGACAACAAACCGTAATCTATAACATTAGCACCATGAATTAGAACTTTGTGAACGGAAGCAGGCATGTTATACCACGGATACTCGGCAACTAACTGCCGAGCCGTCTCTAAAGCGAACTCTTCGAAGTTCGTCTTATTAATATTATATCCCGAATTTAAACATTGAAGGATGATCCAGCAACGATCTAGGAGATCCTTCTTGATCCCAGTAATTTCAGCGGAAATTTCTGAATTCGAGAAAAACCGCCTGGCTGTATTACCATCGTTTGATGTTCCGCTTCCGCCACTTTTAGGCTTATCCACTATAAGCCCTAATCTTTCTCTAAATTGAGTCTGAACATATGATTTTTTTGCAGCAACAAGCATTTTGTCATTAGCGGACCTAGCTTGCCATTTCCTAACATCTAACTTGTACGCGACATGAACAAAATATTCAAAAAAACGTATTAACGCGTGAAGAGGTGATAAACCAAATTCATATTTACTCTCATCCACTTCCTTATTTAAACATTCGTCAATTTTGTTCATTTCACTGGGCAAGGCGTTATAAATAAAACATTTTGATGAAGAAACACCACTAAGTGCATTACACACTTTACCATCTACCATAGTAAGTTGCAAACAATGAGTAATGCGATATTCGCGATCTTCTTCCTTGAAAACAGTAGGCTGCAAGTTCCTTATTTTATCTTTAAAATGAGCTTCTTCCTCAACTGACACTGCAGTCGATTCCTTCAAATATCGGAGGCGTATAGGACGACAGTATCGAGTTGATGAAGGACGAGGATTTTTCCACAAAACTACTGAATTTTCTTTGTTATCTGTTGTCAAAACAAGCTGAAGTGGCACATACGAAGTAACAAACAGGCTACTGTCTTCAAGAGTGGAGTCAGAAAAACACTGTTTATATTCTGAATGCCCTGTACTGCCATCGAAACCCCATTTCCCTATCAAAGATATCTTATCTAGAGACTCATTAGGTACACTATCCAAAACATCTTTTTGAGACTTGAGAATCCGATTGGCAGTATGATCTAATAAACTTTGAAGTTCGACTTCGGCGGATGATTCTGTAACAGTAATATCTGAAGGATAACAGTGTTTTTTAGATTCCACGACACTTTGGTAAGATGGGAAAATGGTTTTTGAAAACTTATTGTCTATAAATTTCTTTACTAATATATATTGATGTCGAGTTAACTGAGCTTCAACAATGAGCGATAAAACTTCGCTAGAATCGATTTCAGGACAAGACAAGCTATCGGACGCATTGAGCAATGACTGTACAAGAGAAGGGTCTTGGTTAGACAAACTAGCCAATCTTCTCCTTTTTGTACGTTTACTGGTGTCGTCAAAGTTAATTCTCGGACGGCCATGCGATGAAGAAGTTGATGGTTTAACTTCGTCAAAGCTCTGAGATACACGTAACTCAGTTCGCTGTACATCAATATTTTCAACGACATGCAGCCAATCTGAATATTTTTCTAAGAATTTAGATCTAGTACGATTCGACTTTGCCCAGTAGTGGGAAATTCGTTTACAAATATTCTTAATTTAAGGCTTAAAGTCTCTAAATCAATATTTTCGATGTCGTCAGAAAGGGATGATGTTTCGGTCAAAGTGCTCAGGACGTGTTGCATTTTTTCATTTGGATTACCCACTTTAGAGTGCCAAATATCAAAAATTGTCATCCTCGACACAGAACATTTGAAAAATGTACCTAAAACAATATGAAAGCTGAACTTAAAAAAAAATTAAAAATTCAATACTATGGACATGCATACTTTGACACCCCTTTAAGCCAAGAAGAGGCAGCAAGATGCAAATGAAACTTATAGCTCTTAATAAGGACATACTCCTTATTCAAAAACCATATACCTCAGGTGTAGCTCAGCGCAGCCAAAAGTTGTAGGTCTAAAGGAAATTAAGTTATGCCAAAAATTTTCACCAAAAAACTGCCTTCAATAAAAAAATTATATAAAAAAAAGTATGCATAAAAAAAATTAAAAAAAATTGATAATAAAAGTACATACCATGCTCTTGGATCTCCATGCTTTCACAACACTTAAACACTTGATTTGGAATAGTGACACTCAAAAACAAAGTGATTAAGTTTCGATGACTCACACGTGGTGATAATTAGTCTCGCGATGCGCTCACTTCCGATGCACAAAAGTGAATGATAACGTGACCTAATTACATTGATATTTATAGTTTTTGGAAGCTTGTTAACTAGTTACTAACTTAGTGAGTTGATCTAACCGGGATAAGCCAATGATTTTTTTTGATTTATGGCCTATGGGGGAATCACAGTGCGTTGTGGTATATTTGTCGTAATCTCAGCAAAATACAAACAAGTGTACACCGTCATGAAATCTGCGAAGGCACAAAACCTATTTTGTTCATTTGCTTGCTTTTTGTTTGCAAATTGTTTATTTTCACGCTTTGCACAACAAAAAGTCAAAGAAACTACGTATAATACAAAATACCTGTAATTAAAAATATACCTGTAAAAATTAATATGAGTTTATGGGAACTAATAATTGAAATTACCCAAATAAAGCCCTTGTTGTTCAATGTTTTGAATGGTAAAATATTATACAATGTAAACAAGCTATAAGCTATATGTAAAAGAATGTTGTACCACAAGCGCGAGGTGACTATATACAGTCAGCATCAAAATGGTCTGAACAGTTTAAATTAAATGTTGTTTTTGGCCCAGCAGTGACGGTAAAATTGACCATTTTGGTACTGATTGTACACTTTAAAAGAATACAAATAAATGTATTAAACAATAAACTAATTCAATCAGTTTTTCTTTTTTATTTAAATGTTTCAGGTATTGACCGTCTTGTATCTAAAAATGTTAAGTGCCTTAAGTACTGGGTTCATAAATAGACAAAGAGAGAGAGAGAGGGAGAGAGATAGAGAGAGGGAAGAGAGAGGGAGAGGGAGAGGGAGAGGGAGAGACGGAGAGGGACAGAGAGAGAGAGAGAGAGAGAGAGCAGGCAGAGATCCGTAATCTCGGCCTACCCCACTGGGATAATCTGGGATTTTCTGAAATGTGCTTATTGCACTTTAGTACTATGCTCTTCGATTCTAAATCTTTAGCTTGTTCCAAGCTTTTCGAAGTTGACGTGTTTTCGTTCAAAATTACCAAAATTCTGATTCAGCTCGTACTTCTTGTAAATTTTGTAGAATTTACTCTGGTATTAAAATCAATGTAATAGGTAATAATTGTTTACTTTTCTGACAACAGAAATCCATATCTAATTAATTAACCGCATCGGCACATTATTTGAAACTTTGATCTAGTGAATTCTAGGAGGTGCCTGTAAATTTCAGGAAGCCGTTGCTACTGTTATGTAGTCTGTATAGGGGTGACTTTTTTAAGCAGCTCGGCTGAAAAGAAGCTTGTCCGCTCCCTTTCTATAACGCTACAGTTTTTTTAGAAGATACTTAATATTAAACACCCTGTTAAGAACTACTCCATTTGATGTTTGGATCTGCAAGACATTTACTTATTGTATTGCGGCATGTGATATGGTTCTCCGCCTGCAGCCATTTAAGCACCATTATCATCTGCGTAACTAATGCAGTAAATATCATGCAGACATCATCCACTTAGCAGTCGCGGCGTTTGCGATGGAGTACCTGCCGCTGGGAACTGCACGGGAGATACGTAGTACCTGCTTCGTTTTGATCGATTCGGCTTCGGAGAGAGAATGATCAGCGAGCCCCACAGTGCGCGCGTCGCCTTGGCGCGCTGCGTCGCCGAGGTGCACTGCAGCAGCCGCGGCACGTTCACGAACACGTCGTCGTCCGTTTTGAGCACCCGTGGTGACAGCGTCTTGAATGTTAGGTTACGATATGAGTCAACGGAGTTGCCGATGATCAAGTCGCCGAAGAGAGTGTCCTCGGCCGCCAGCTTAGCTCGTTTGCTCGCCGGTGACGAGCCCAGCCTAAAGGCCATCGCCACGTCTGCGCGACCCGCGTGGGAGCCCCACGTCTGGCGGATGGCGTTGCGTTCTTCCACATGGCCGGGCGCCGACGCCACGAGGATTCGTAGATGGCGTTCGTCAGCACCGGGCGCCCGGTGTAGTTGCCGCGATCTTGCGCGGTCGCTCGGCCACTGCTGGACGAGCTAGAGCAGTAGTGTGATAATCACCAACGTTGTCAGCACCAGCACGTGTCTTCTCCACCCGTCGCCCATGAGCTCAATGAGGCATCTAAAGAGCTTCGTCGATCTAAGGAGACTATTCGGGTGAAACCTACTTTTTCTTTGAGCTGCAGCGGGCTTCTGGAGAGGTATGTAATTGGTTGATTAAGTATGCAACGTCGTCTCACGAGTCAATGATCGTACCGTCCGGTAAACCAACTTCTGCTTCAATAATAAGTGACGCATTGAACCTAATGCTCACAGCATTACAAGTATAATATTGCGTTGAACGGTAAGTATATTAAAAACTATCGTAGATACACTCCTTGTTCTTCTTTAAAAAAAAAAGTATCTCTATACTAGTCTTTGGTACGATATCTCTGTATCGTCCACCGCCCATAAGAAATCTTACATCACTTCATCACTTCATTCTTTTAAATTCGCACGTAAAAAAACTTTCTACAAAATATTTTGACGCGTGTCTGATACAAATTTCAAAGTTCACAAATTACCCTTAATCTCTTTTACACTACCTGCCTACAAAATATTTTCCTGCCGTAAATACTTTGTTTCATAGTTATATATAAACCACACATACACTCCACTTATTTTTACGTACCTACACACAAACACACACCTTTAAGCAAAACACCCATTCATTTACAATTATTATACAACCCTAAGCTAAAAACTTTCATAATGGGACTTATGATTTTGTTAGAAAAAAAAGATTTACGTAATTATATCGATTTAAAATTTTATGTTCTGTGTTGCCTTAACAATTGAGGCTATCAGCGCCAAAGTAGTGTAAGCCTATAGTAGTTTTTTAACCAATTTCATAACTCCGCCATTTGTGAACCAATTTTAATGATTCTTTTTTGTTGGAAAGAAGGTACCTCAGATGTGGTCCCATTTAAATTTCAACAAAATATTCCACCTCTAAGGGTGGCAAACTAGGGGATGAATTTGAATCTTCAACATTTGACGATGAAGGGGGAAAAAGACATTTGAGGTCGGTTTTTTTAACCGGAAGTTAGGTTATTTTTGTACCATATTACTTTAAGTGATTGTAAAGTATATTATTATTTTTACATTTGGATGCTATTATCATGTATAAAAAAATATGAATATAACATTGGTCATATATGATTACTATTATGTATATAAAATGCATTTAGCATCTTCTAAATATTTCGTCACCCAGTTAGGTACCTTTATAGCTGCCGGCCGGAATCCGGCCGGATCGAAGGAGTTTTTTCCGAGTGTTCGATTTTGTATTAATAACAAACTAGTGGAGTCATTACATAAACAATAATTGAATATCAATTCAATAAAAATTTAGATACAGCGAATAGCGACATCTCTAGACGGGGCTGGTAGCTGTAAAGGTATCTAACTGGGTGACGAAATACTTTCATAGATGTCTAAAAAGTCGTTGAAAAACCAAATACAAAGATACGACAACAAGCACAGAAAAAAATGGCTTTCTTCTTTGGTCTCTTTACACCCCTTAAGTCGTTGAGACTCGAGTAGGTAAGTGGAGCTGGCGAGCGCATAAGATGCCGTCTATCTTGCGGTCTGACCATTTACATTCGCACCGTAAGTGTCATGGTTTAGAAATAATACACTTAACTTATAAAGATATAAGAAACCCGAAATTTTGAAAAGAAAGGAACATATCGAGTTCGTAAATATTCGCGATTGTTACACACAGGAAATGAAACTATTTTTCCGGATTTAAATCGCGTCTATTTGTTTTTTCAAACAAACCAACGTTTCGGGCCCTTTACAGGTCCCACGGTCGCGGTTGACTGAATCTGATGAATGAAAAGGAAAGGAACACTTGTGATAACTTCCATTTTTTAAGGTTCACCTCATCGAACTAAGTAATTAATATTTCCTTAATGGCGGCCACTAGGTTTGGGCCAGTGTCAGTTCTGTAAGAATAATATAAAAGTTATATTATAGAGATCGTTGCCAGCGTCAGTGAAGAACATCAAAATGTTCAACAAGTAATTTATACCCTTTTCCATCCTCTAAGTTTACACCTGGGAATGGCACTTGTCATCGACTCAATGTCTGTTATAAAAAAACCTTTTATTTTTTTTTATCCTTTAAGGATGGAGCATAAATTATGTAAAGATAGACCCTTACCTGAGTTCAGTATTGCAGTCCAAACAATGATCTTATACAGTCCAAATAATTTTTATTTCTTCTTACGTGACTGGTGGATATGAAAGCCTATCAAATTTGGTCAGACTTTATTAACCTCTAATTTTTTCTTTGATTTATAATACTTTGTTTTTATCATTTCACACGATGACGATCTTATAAATACTTAGTGCTGATAGTTGTTCTTTAGTATTTTGTGTTGTAGAGCGCGTCGCGGTGGTTTTCATGAATTTGTATCACTTGTAATTTTGTTGCGGCTTGTAATTTGTAATTTGGGCTCGTTACAAAAATCAACACATGCCACTGAGTGACTTCCGTAGTGTAATTAATTATTACCATAAAACCTATTTTCGTCTATCCTTGACCCACAACGAATAGAACTTCCACTGCAGAGCAACGACCGATAAAGGGAATAGTACTACGCGTACTGGCAAGTGCACTTGGATTTAATTATAACTTTTCTGAAAACACTACAACCGGTGTGGCAAAGTAACCTCTAGGAGAGGCGATGTATCATGTTGACCGATGACTGGTCGCCTGCCTCGTAACCTACATCTGTCTTGTGATTCCATAAAAGAGCTTATTATTAAGTTAATGTAACAGACAATCATTTCTCAAACTACGGAATTCCTAACGAAAACTAGAACAGGCACAAACAAAAAAATATAAAACAAAATATTGTTGAATCTGGGATCGCAGATCCACAGAAGTCTTCAGAATTTGATATACATGGTCGCGAATCCTTGTTTTTTGTATACTTTTCTGTTTTGGTTTTTTATTTTTGTTTCTCAGTGGTGTTGTCGTTTAAGATTTTTTTACGTGAAGTTTCACAGTGACAGTGACAGAACACACTTCTGTACAAGTACCTACTTGCCTTTTTCCCCAATCATACAGCAGGTACACATCGTCCATTTCATTTGTCGTAATGTCATTGTGGTGCCCTAACGATATTACCTTCTTGCATAATTTTTTAAGGTTATATCAGGTTATAAGTATCTATATGTTGTACAATTGTAAATGTAACTAGTGTGTATGCGTGTCTGTGAAAGCGCAGTTGTTTTGTAGTAGCGCCGACAAAGTGTACAGGAATATTTAATAAGAGAGGACAAGAACGTCCGGGAGGGTATTTAATATTCCTATTAAATCTGTGCAGCTGAAATCTTGTAGCTTATAGTTTCGGGTCGTTCGTCCGCCGCGAAGTGCTTACGGAAATATCCATTGTCGTTTGAGCAAAAGAGTCTTCCTAAAATCCATAAATATTATAATCCGAAATAACCTACATATTTCAGGTTTGTAACGAACACGTCATAACTTTATAATCCTACGTTTAATTTAGGTATATCTACCTATATAAAAGAAAACACCCTGAAAGTTTGTTTGGATATTAATGAACGAAAAGCAACACCAATATTAAGTAATTTTAATAATTTCGGTGAAAGAACAACAAATGCTAATGCGGTCATGAATATTATAATATTTCGAAACCATCGGGGTGGACGTAACGCTTACAACTTTGGAGGGAACATTTTGGATTATCTCACGTTATGGACAAACAAAGAAATATTTTCATTGTATATTATTTTCAATATCATTTTACGTAGACAAGCCGTATGAATGAGCCGAGAACGACATATAGCAACATGAGTGTGGCACGCGCAGCGGTCAGGCGACGACTCAGCGATATTGGACAACTCGTGTTACTTTTATTAATTGTCTTCATAAGATAAATATATATTTATAAAACATTATAAATCTAGAATCCATTACAACCATTAGAAGTTAGATTACGAATTATTTTAAATAAATTTTATAAAATCTTTTTTGTTTTCTTAAGTCACTGCGGCTGTGGACTGCAAAAAGTTGATATATCGTTGTTAACCACCTTTCGTTTACAATTGTGCTTTGTGTCTATCAGAAAAACCAAAGGGTGGTCAAATACATAATTCTAGATAATTTTAAAAACGTCCAAATTACTACTGCATCAAAATACGATTTGGAAAACAAAATATGTAAATAAACATTTAACATTTTGCAGTGAGCTGTCCGTCGCACTGTTAGGCACGGGTCTCAATCTAGGCGAGGGTCCACCACGTGCAAAGTTCATTGCGATTTTTGTCATTTTCCGTTAAAGCATTATAATGTAGAAGCTAAACTATATATATAATTCGAAAAGGTTCCGCGTTGCGGGCTTCGCGCTGCGAATCAATCCTAGAACCATTTACAGGCAAGTATGCGTTGCTATACTTAATATGTTGTCAGACAACAAGAAAATATACTTATACCTAAAATAAAATATGTTAACCTATATTGACGATGAATTTCGTGTAATCTAAATGGAAATTAACCTTGGCCTTTTTTATTTTTTGAAAGGTGTAACCATCGAAGAGCAATTGTGACATTAAAATATTTAATCTACTATATATTCCAAAATCAGTGTCCGTAGCATGAAAAAATAGATATTTATCTAAATTTAAAATGATTTCTTTTTCAAAGTAACAAGAAGCGAAGCGGCAGCAGACGGTAGCGTCTCTCCCTCATCCCGGTGGGTCAGAAGAAATGAAAAACTTCTATACATTGAATAACTCCATCAGTGTTTGTTGGCACTCTACACAGAGTGGGGATACAGATACTCGTTATTTATAATATATTTATTTAATTATAAAACAATTAGTTATTATAACGTGATGAAGACGACAGCATTCATTACAAAAAACGATATCGTTTAAAAGTAATCAACGTCATAATTCAGGATTTAGTGTAAGTATTGCATAAAAGCGTTAGTAGGCCTTCTGTTGGTATATTAAATACAATAGGCAGAAGATACAACAGTCAACTCAGCAATGATGACAGTTTAAATGTGAAGCAGTATCGTCAAATGTACTGTTTGATTGTTTTTCCTTTGTCCCCTTTCAGAGCACCATCAATTTGGATTATTGATATATCTGAGGTAGCTTTTGTCGCTTCATATAATTTATTCGATTGTTTCAGGCTTAGCCTCCCGAAAGACAAAATATTTAAATTTTTTAAATCGGATGTAAAACAATAGGAATTAAATGTATATTTTAGTAGAATAATTTATAAATGATTTATTTTTTAAATTATGTTGTTTTTAAATTATTAAGACAATGACGTGTTCGGTTGTAATTGGCTCACAAACTCGTCTATCGTATCTATTATTATAATACTGTATATAAATATTAAGCTGCTGAATCAATATCTAAATAAATAAATAAAGCCACAGGAAATGGACACGGCAAAAAGCGCTAAACGCCCAGCAGTGTACATTCCATGCCCACGCCAGTATGCCCTCAATTTTGTGTGAAAAACGCAATAGGGATCTTGTATAGAATAGTCATATGTATAGAATATTATACTCGCTGTAGTGTCTTAATGTACGAGAGACGATCTATATGCGGCCACGGATAGTGCAGTCAAGGTGGCAACGTACTATTCACAGTTAAGGAGGCGCGCAAACGTGTCTTCTATTGGGTACAAGCCACCACCGGCATCTAGAATAAGCGAATGCTTTGTTGTCCCTAAGCGAATACTTCTTAATTAATATGAAATCGACAGTCGGCTGTTTTCGGTTACTGCAATTTGTACGAATATAGAATATTCGCTTCAGTTTTTTTTATAAAATCAAGTGACGGGACGAACAAATATACATAACAGTTGCAGGATCTGACGGGCGCTGCCACTTTTTACTTAACTGCCACTGCGCCCGTCATCCTGAGACATAAGTTGACAAGTTCCATGTGCCTGTAATTTCAACAGCACCCTTACTCTTCAAAACCGGAACACGGTAATGCTGACATTACTGTTTTGCCTTCAGAAATAAATAAAGTGGCAGTATTTCCCTGGACGAACTCTTTCGCAAAGAGCTTCTACTGCTAATGAAAAAGGGCACAGTTGTTTGTGTCCAGCACAGGCGTCCAGTACTTGTAGTAAAAAAAAAATAAAACAGGCATCGACGACTATGAGAAGAAGAATACAGAATATATAGCGCTGAATTTGAATGAGCCATTTTCGTTATAATATACATTGGGCGTTGGCGCGATCATAGGAAGAATATTGGCTAGATCTGAACCACTTCAGGTGTTATGTACAATGAGTTGAATTTCGGGTTGAATTGGCTGAAGAAGTTTGTAATTAAAGGTATGAATCAAATTTAAAAGTGCTGATAAACCCACTGATCTGCTCACCGAAACACTTACAGGCGGTTTTATACAATAGTTAAGGAAGACGACCCAAGCGCGTCGGCTCGACGTCTCTCGACTTAACGACTTCGATGATTTTATTTTTCGAACATTCGTTGTCGAGACATTCGGAGTTATACACCAAAACCTATTCATCTATTACATTTACATACAAAGCAAATCTTTTGTATCTTTACCTTACCTAAAGCTTATTCTATAAAGGGCCCGTGACCAGTAGTATATCCCGACCAATAAGCCAATTTGGAGTGGAGCAATCAGTGCTTATCAAAACCTAAACACCCAACGTGGAAAGATAAGAGTTAAATTAACAGAATGTAATATGCGATAATCGTCGGCTATCTGCCAACACGCGTAGACCCGTGCGCGGCGGCGGGGCTCTGCGCCGCTCAAGTGCCGTGGCGGCGGCGACGCGCCGGCGTGTGACCACTCTATGCCCAGTCATTTGTATTACTCGCAACTTCTGGCCAGTGCTTCCATAACGCCATGCTGAGACTACAAATAGATAAATGTAAGACAACGTCATATACATATGTTGTTCCGAGTCCAAGTGTAAGTAACTACAGCACTTGTGTTATGGAAATCAGAAACAATGACGATACCACAAACACTCAAACCCGAGACGATACAGAAAAGTTAGTTTTTCCACATTGGCCCGCCGGGGATCGAACCCTGGGCCTCAGAGATGGCGATACGATGACAACCGGTGTGCAAGCCCCTCGACCGCTAAACATTATTTGAGTTGAAATTTCAGTTTGAACACAGTTTTTTTACACACTCTTAGCCCCGCACATAGACAACCACAAATTACACCCAAACTCACGAGAGAAACAAATGTAGGCCATACAAATATTCTTCCGGCACGGGAGTCGAACCCGGGACCTCTGCGTGGCAGTCTGGCGTGGTAACCGTTCGGCCACGGGGGCAGTTTGCAGCTTTAGACAACGCCAATCAACCACGAAAGTCGTCAAACTGAAGCACATTAAACTAGAAGCGTCAAGTCCATGACTTTACACTTGTACTACCTACTCAATTTACAGACTGATGATTCCCCCGGAGCCGTTGGCTATAATCATAGTCATATACCTGTATTGTTTTCACCTCACTGGCTCGGAAAGGTTTTCTTTCTCAGAAATCCGATTCTCGCAACCAGAATTTTAAGTGATTTTTCGGTTCACTGATAAAACATATTTATAATATACTATCTAATATAGGTAGGTACTATACTCTTTTATAATATAATTTTCTATTATAATGATGTAGTGTAAGTACTGTCACGAGGGGTCATAGCTCTAATGCATTGCGAGAGGTACTTTTAATAATATAAACCGGGATTAACTTCAAACATTTTGGTTTATTTTACTATTTTACATATTTTATACTTTTGGGTTACAAATCAATCTCTCTGTCTGTCTAGATCTTCT